TGTAATCGCAGTTGCTCACCACAATTTAAAACTATAATCCAACTCATATAAAAAATTAATGTCGTAATTAGCCTAGTAATACAGGAAAGTTAACTGATACGTCGAGATAAAAATAAAAAAGTTAATGAAGATGAAAAAATTGTGCAGTGAAGTTCGGATTGAGGGATTGGAGACACTTGATTATTTTGATAATCTGGTGAACAGATCAAGGTTCACAGAACAGGCTGATGCAATCACATTTGATGGAGAGGTAAGAATCATAAAACATCACTTTTCTTTGAAAATCAAATAATATTCAGCACATCATAATAGACATAAGACAGTTCCGACTACACTCCGCCTTTCCTTTACGTGAATTTTGTTGTTGTTTTGGTTCCCTCATAGACAGACAGGGTATACTTGAGCAGCCCGAATAAAATCGCCATAATAGATCATGAGAAGAAAAGAACCTTTGTACTCCGGAAGAATGCGCTTCCAGATGCAGGTAATTACATATTTGTTGTTCTTGTGCATTTGATGTATTGAAATAAGATAATGTTTCTCATTTCTCAATTTGTGATGAAACAAACTGCAGTGGTATGGAATCCATGGAATAAAAAGGCCAAGGCTCTACCTGATTTGGGAGATGGTGATTACGAGATGATGTTATGTGTGAATTCAGCAGCTATTGATGTTCCTATTCTTTTGAAGCCATGTGAAGAGTGGAAAGGCTATCAAGAACTCTCTACTGTTTCATCAAGCTATTGCAGTGGACAGTTGGATCCTCGTAGAGTTCTTTCTGGCTTTCATTGATGCAGTTAAAACAATCAAGATTTGTATACATTATGGTGTGCAATGGACTTTGTCCCGAGACTGGAGATAGTTGATAGATAATATTATACCATAACATAAAGCCATTTTCCACCTTACAATAATTTGAGAGAAGCTTAGCTTGATGGCATATGATGCCATGACAATTGCTAAGCAATTATTTTGTGTATTTGTTAAGTTCCAATGAAATTCTTCTGAGAATAGAAACTGGTGATGCTATGTATACATACTATTTGTAAATTAGGAAAAGAACATGAACTTTTTTCTTTCTTTCTTTCTTTAAACACTTTTTGTTAGGAGAACCTGCAATTTTGTGGCCCTATGATCATGAACATGTTTCTATGCACACTTCTACCTTGTCTAATTGCAGGATAATTAATACACATTAACAACATAATCCTCATCTAAATAGATTAAACAGAATACAAATGCTTGCCATAAACAGGTTTTCTCGCAAATTTGATTGGTTAACATGATAAAGGAGAAAGATAAGAAAACGAAACAATTTAATCGCGCTTGAATATTGCAAAATGTAACCAGCAAGAAACAGGTCCTAAAGAAATCATAATTTAAATTCCAACATGGAATGTATACATTCTCCATAGATTGTGCTAGCTGTACAATTTAACACGAAATGTATAAAATGGAGACGGATGAAAATATATTACTCGTCGTCGTCGTCATCTTCGAAACCTTCAGCAGCCCCAGCATCATCTCCAATGCCTTCAAGTAGTTGATCAACATCCTCTCCCAACTCCAGCAACCTAGCACTAAGTTTATCCACCTTGCTTTGTTCTTGCCCTAGGCATACCAGCAGATCATTCAGTTCACCCTCACTCTCCTTCAGAGCTTCTTCCCTTGCATCAGCTTTTATTGCCTCTACATCTGGGATTGTTGAGAGCCTTCCACCCCTCAGTGCTTTCACCTCATTCTCCAGTTGAAGGTTGGATTGCTCAAGGCTATTGTATGCATCAGATAGACTCCTTAGATCAGCTTCCATCTTTCCAGCTAAATTCTGATACATATTTGCCTCAGATTCGATTTTTGCTTTTTCTGCCTTAAGCATCTCCAACCTTTTAGATGCTTCTTGGAAATCTCTACGGAGTGTCTCTGTTTGGACTCTTTCGACACCTCCACTTACTCTTTGCTCAGACTGGAAACTACTGCCAGTCTTAGCCAGGTCCTCAGCCAATGTACCATTTCGAAGAACAAGATCCTGAAACGATTAAAAAAAACACTAAATAGTACACATATCAAGAATAGTCAAACCATGTTACATTTGTTGAAGAGCACGGGATCCTACACTTATTATTCTTCTAATGGACTCTATACACCACACTCATGCAATAAGCCTCAGAAATAATTATAAATATACTAAGGTATCATCAAAATAAACAAAATTTGCTGAACAAATCATCAAGGACGCAAATCTATGGCAGTACATCATAGCAAAAACACTTCAGAAGAATGCTCTGTCCAATCTTATTATGATACCATTTAAAACCAACTCCAGAATCGCACATTAAGCAAATGACTGCAAATCAAAAACCACACAACTAAATGCTCTGAAAATCTAAGGTTGATTTTAGAAAATCTATTCTGCTGTTCTCAATTGCTTCCTGTGTTCCTTTTTAGTTGTTGTGTGAAGATTATTTACACATGCCAAAATATTAAATTTTGTTACTATTGATAGAACTATTTGTCTTTTTCCTATAATACCCTTAACCATTTACTATCTCGCTCTACCTATTTCTCTCCCTACAGTAAATAGTTAATGTTATTATTGACATAACAATAGTAAATGTTTCATTGAACTTTCAAAAAGACGTGTAAATAAATAGGACCAACGATTTTCTACAAAAGCGACAACTAAAAACGAATAGAGTATACAAAAAAGGTAGACTACCAGAAAGGAACAGATTCATGACTTATCCATGTATTCATTTTAAGAGACGTTGACAAATACAAATAATACCTGTATCTCAGAGTGCTGATTCTCAACAAAAGCTTTCAGCCGCTTAATATATTCACCATCACTTTCACCACTCTTCTGCTCTATTTCTGACGGTACTACCGCTACCTTAATTTTTGGACGACTATAAACCTCCACAATCTGTTCTCTAATATTTGCCTCCAGCCTTTTGACAAAACTCACAAAGTAAGAATCCAAGATTGAAGCAAGAATCGGATGATCCGTATTTTTCTTTTCTGACAAATCATTCTCATCCACATCTTGAATATCTGCCATACTAGCTGCTGAAGATCTAGAGAATGATCTATGAGTGAGTGATGACTCCACGTTAGCAAAAAGAAAACTCTTATGCATCTCCTCAAATTTTAAGAAGTACGAACTGAGCCCTATTTTCTGACTTATTAAATCAACAATGCCAAATGCATCTTTTCCGCTATCAGTGGATTTGTTATAGATCACACATTCACCCAACACAACTGCTGCAAATCCCCTTATACACACTGTTTCTGACGAATTTGATACTAGCTCAAGAAGATAGGTAAGGTGGGGCCGGGCATCTAGGAAGCAGTGCACTGCATTGTGGCAATCTGCTAGCCAGGTAAGCAGTAATTTCAGAATAACAGCTTGAACATATGAATTTCCTGATGTATTATTAGACTTTCCATCTTTGGATTTCATTGAAGAGGCAAGGGCCAAATATTTCACCATTCGATGCATTAGTGGTTCGGGAGCTCCTAAAGATTGCATGGGTGCCTCAATTTCAATTCGCAAAACCTGAAACATTTCTCGTAAGATTTCTGAGCACCTAAATTTCTGTTTTTCCTTTTCTAAATCGTACGATTCATACTAAGATTAATTCATACTATGATTATGTATAAATTTGTGAAGAAAAAAGATATCTAGTGAAAAGAAATCAAAAACAGGTCAACATTGATGTGGCATGGCTAACAGCATAAAGAACCCCGCTCCAAAAAGAAAAGAGAGAATGAAAAGCTTTAATTATGAACTTAAAGGTAATAGCATAAAATTTTGAATATTGGGTTCAGAAATTAAATTCTTTTACAAAAGCAATGCTATGAATAGTTTGTGATGGAAACCATAAAAAATAGCAAAAGTAACCTTTGGTTATCCTTGAAGTAAATGCATAAGAACATTATAGAATAATTACATTTAAGAAATTATAAAAGTGAGAAAGATGAAATGGTCTGAAGTATGCCGTGAGTAACATTCATATATATATGAAGAAAATCAGATACATGTTCATCAAGTAAAACTTGCATTACCCTAAGGCAGGACTAGATCTCTAGTGAGAGTATTTATCAATACTAATATTGTGTTATCAAATAAAAGGTTAAGCTTTTTACAATTTACCCAATAGTGTCACAATTTCCACTCAACTACTAACAAATGGAAACAGAAAGAAAAATAAAGATAAATGTGTTACATAGATCAAATAGAACATGCAAGCAATACACCCATTAACTCTTCGGCAAAAAAAAAAAAAAAAAACAAGTAATTTATCAAATTGAATAAGCAGTTGCATGTGAGAGACATCAGCTTAGAAACAAATTCCTCAAAATAAGGGAGTGGAGACAATTTTGTTCTTCTATTCACTTGGAGTAAAAGCTTAAATTGGATATGATTCATATGAAATTATAATGTTACAAAATTTAGTCATAAAACAAACTAAGATGATTCATATAGTAGAAATCTATAGTTCATAAAATTATAATGTTATAATTTAAGATGAATTCATTGATTTTTATATGATAAAAATTTAGTCATAAAACAAATTAATCAAAATGTATTATGTAGTCCCTATATCTGCTAAAACTGGTTGTAAAATAAAGCTAAAAAATACAGTGAAACGGGGAAGTATTTGCATACCCTTTCCTTGCATTGGAGATTGTCCTTCAATATATGTGATAGAACACTGGCAGCTCTACTACAAGTCTACATATTTAACATAACGTTAGTCAGATAATTCATATTTCATACTAGTAGCAGTGGGCTTCCATTGTACAGGTAAAATATAAACTAAAAAAATTGTGTTCATTTGAATTTTACACCCAACAGTTCCGCTGGGATTAGCTAGCCATATAAATCTGAAATGTATCTAAAGAAGTATCGCATACCTCAAGATCACCATCATTTTCACCCAAAGTAAGGCCGTGTAATAGCATGCTGAAAGAGAAACAAATGGTAAAATTAAAAGTGTTTGAAGATAGCATATTAACCGAAATGTTATAATTTAGGAAACAGACATAAACATGATTTTGTTGTATTAAAAAAGTTCAATCGCAAGTGTTGTCGATGGCGGATGGCGGTCCATGGCGGAGAGGCAAAATCCCGCCATATTGGCCGCTTTGCGACGCCGTTATTGCAGATTATGGCAGAAAAACCCGCAATAGCGGCCAATATTTACTATTGCGGCGAGCCCAAAAACCGCCATGTAAATCTGCCATAGCGGCCATGGCGGGGCAATTTGATAACACTGAATCGCACAATATCAGTAAGTGCAACACTAAAGCACCACCAACATGACAAACCTTCCAAAAGACATATTAACATCCTCTTCATGGAATGAATGATTCACGGAATATGGTTGTGGAATTAGTGTAGACGCTAGCATCGCTTGGCCATCAGCATTTTTCTGATTTAGATAAGATTAATCGAAAAAGGAAAAAATCCATTAAATAAAAGCATAAATGAAACATATGTAATCAAAAGCATTAATATGCAATAATCAATTTTAATAGCTCTTCAATTATGTAATATGTATGATGACAAGGAATGCTTTTAAAAGCAACTCAAGATAAAGAAGTATGCATAACCAACCTCACAAAAGCTTTTGAAAACATAATCAGCTGCAATGAACTCTTGCATGCTAGAAGACCTCAAAATTATTCGAAGTATAGAATTCAGAGCAGGTTCAACTTGTGGCTCCTCTCCAAGAACTTTGCCAGCAAGAAGATCGAGATTCTTCGAATCTCCAACAATCAAGTCCCCAATACATTTCAATGCCTAAAAAGATATAGTTTAACAGCATCAAATTGAAAACCTCTCCATATTTCAGAGTAATTGAAAATTCAGAACAAAAATTTAGATTGATGGCGATGAAGTAGAACAGAAATAAGGATGTTGCACTGGATGCGTGGTAAGACTAGATGGGATAAGATTAGAAATGTCATTATTAGAGAGAGTATTGGAGTAGCACCTATAGTTGAAAAGGTGGTGGGAAATAAGGCATAGGTGTTTGGGGCATGTAGAGAGAAGACATGTAGATTTCGTGGTAAGCTAGAGATAGAGGAAGACATGGAAAAACTATAAGAGAAATGTTTAAGAAAGATCTCTAGACTAACAAATTGGATAGAAATATGGTCTTGAATAGAACATTCAGGCGTAATTTGATCCATGTAGGCAACCCCACTTAGTAAGATAAGACTCGGTTGCTGTTGTTGATAGTGTATAATAGAAACTGGGAAAGGCATACGACTATAACTAAAAAATAAAAATGCTCTTTTGAAATGGATATAAAGCCAAGCTAAATTGGGGGCATTGACTATTTTATAACCCAAGCAAACTCCAAGTTCCACCGATTAATCAACAAGAAGACTTGTTATTGACAAACTTTTATACAAGTGTTTAGAACATCAGATACTCACTCAGATGCATGGACATCGCTCTGTCATTACCTAAAAGGCTAAAACATCAAACAGAACAGCAATATACAACCATGTCGAGATGTCATTTGCAATGTAAGGAATGAAATATTTAAGATAGCAATGTAATCAAGGGAAAGATAATAATATGAACCAAAGTTACGCCGAAATTGTGTAATATTTACCATGGCAATGATGAAAATTGCAACAATTTGGTAGGGTTATTACTCTTCCTGGTCAATATTACATATATTCATTCTCATATAATCTAAAATAACTATTTTGGTATCCAAATTTTAAAAGCATGATACTATATAAAATATTTTATAATGAAAATTATTACTAGGACTTTACATTCAAAATCACAAAGTCAGTCTTAAACTAGATCTATGTTGAAAACATAAGAACAAATAATTAATTAAACAATATTTATATTTAGAGCTGATGTATCTATACATTGTGAGAGGAGAGTATCTTACCGCACAGCGAACTGCAACGGGTACCCATTGGCTTTCAACACCTAATATCAACAAATTGTCCAGTATTTTTTTCTACACCCGATTCCACAAAACAGCAGTATAAGATCACCATAACCAGATTGCTATTATATGCAATCATCATAATAAGACTGAGATTTTCACAAACCTGAACCAGAGCTGTCTTATTTTTCTGTTTATTAGCATCTTTCCCAGGATCGGCATCAGAACCTCCTTTTAGTAACAATTTAATGGTTTCTAATGCACTGAGTAGATTGATTGTCTACTGGCATGGTGTTTATAACAAGAGTCAACTATAAAGGTTAACTAACAGCATAAAGTTAAAGTAAACAAAATTGAAAGAATCCAACCTTTTGTTGAGTAAAAGAGTAAGAACTTCCCCTCAGCTTCAAAATCAATATCAATGGATCAAGTCCTATAGTCTCTCTGAGTAGTACCTGAACCATGCATAGTTGAAATCAGTATCAATCAGGTATACTATAAACTTAATAAACATGACAGAGTTAATAAATAAACCTGATTGGATGCATTGCTACGAATCAAATTGTTTAACAATTCAAGGCAGTCCTGAAAAGTTACCAAAGAAATATTGAGACCAAAAGATATATAAAGCAAATTGAATAAGCACTGTAATAGAGTAGCCATGACTCACCTGCACGACTACACCGCCATCAGAATTTCCCTCCTCCTTTATGATACTGAATATCTTGTCATAAGCACCTTCAAAGACAACAATCTTTTGGATCTCCTGTAACCGTTAAATTTATTTAGATTACACAATTTCACTTAGTGTCAAAAAAAAGTTTAAAAAAAGTTTTAAAAAAAAGTTTAAAAAAAAGTTTAAAAAAGTGAAGTGTGCGATAACATTTCTGTTAGAGCAAAAGGTTACCTCAGCCTCACGGGTCAGGTGAGTAAGAAGCAATAATGCCTCATTCCTTATCACCTGAAAGGTAAACCGTGAACAATTTTCCATCATCAATTACAGCCAAGAATCAACAAGTAATTATGATTGGAATGGTTTTAACAACTATACTTTTTATAGTAGACATGACGGATATCAATTATTAATTTTGAAAAAGTATGAGATAATTAAAATGTTTTCAAGTCTTGAACCTCGCGATCCATAAGCATGTCCATTAGCCGGGTTATGCCACGGGGGATAGTCAATATAGTTTCCTGTAACCTGAAGAATAAGTCAGATAGGTTGCTTTCCAATAAATATGATTTAACAATTTCATGAATCAAACTATCATGGAAGCTATTAAACAAATACCTCTGTCGAGAATTAGTGAGAAGGGCAGTCAATATTTGCAGAGTATAATATCGTACATAAAAATCATCCTCTTCCTGTGCCAAAGTATCCAAAAGGAAAATATGAGTAAGAAACTCCAAGGTTTATATGCATAACCCTAAAAGTCAAGGAAACTTTTAATGATATATTTGAGATTAAATCCCATGATTTTGGTAAAGAAATTCTTACCAACAAACTTAGAAGAAGAGGGATACTTTCTTCTTCTCTGGAAAGTAAATCAGTATTCATCAAATCTGGCTGAACTTCGTTACTTGATCCTTTAGAATGATTAATAGGAGTCAATGCACTCACAAGAGTTTCCAGGGCACCACGAACCTGCATGAATGTAATTTTTAATTAACTTGCCACTGCAACTTGTCAAAGTAAAAGAAAATAATACACATTAAGGGAGAGAACAATTGATGGAGACTGGAGAACAAGGAACTACAGCAAGATTTTAATAATGAGTTGTTTTAATCCAATAACTGCAAACAAAAAACCATCACAGTCTAACTGATCCAATGTCCGCCAATAAAGGAGATTAGCAACACCAACACATGATACCCCAACACAGTAGGTTGATGGTTGGAGTGAGATAGGAGACCACTGATTAAGAAGGTGTAAATGAGAAGTTAAAGAGATGTGATAGATCTGAACTCATTCTTCTAAATAGAAAAATAACTAACTATTATAATTAAGCAGACGATTGGTATGAAGTAGAATAAATAGGATTAGGTGAATGAAGGTGGTTGAGTGAAAGAATGCTTTGTGATATCTCATCCCTAAACCTATTCTTTTATCTTGTTGGTTACAGGATTTGGAATCTAGGGATCCAATCAATAAATTTTATTTCTTTGCCTATTTCTCATCCAGTTTCTTTAAGAGCATCGCTAGTGATCTGAAATATCTTTAAAAAATTATATCTAACATTAATAAAGGCTGTTGCTTATTATAGAACTCATGCATGGTTAACAAACAAATTTTAGAACATAGAAGATCAGCAATTAAGTTAACTGAAGAACCTCAACCCAAATACTGAAAGATGAAATTCCTTTACACACGATAGATGAGTAATCAGTCATTTTTGTTTATTAAATATGTGATGCGGTGTCACTAGAGTCCCTGAATGCATAGAAACAAAAGTTTATCTGAGTGTATCTTCTGTTAGTGATTCATGGACCAAACTAACTAACGGACGGTATATTCAAGGACTAAACTAACCAACAAAGTACACATTTGAAAATCAAACAGACAAAGGAAAGACATATTTGGGAAAGCTTTGTAATTTTGATAGTTGATGCTTTCAAACATTATAGACAGCGGCTATCACATTCAAGAACCCAAATTGTTATTTACTCGTGATACATATAAATTAAGGACTGCATACAAGTCTAGATTAAGCAAGGCAAACTACATTACCAATCTAATAATCAACCTGTTGAAAAACAATGTCACAGACTTAACCTCAGTTTTTTTCCTTTCTCATTTATCGTCTTAATAACAACTAAAATAATGAAGCGTATCCTTGAGGACACAAAGAAACAAAGAAAAAAATAGACAGTAAACATAATGGGGAAGAATGTTTTGTCACCATTTCAACATCATGACGTTCTTCCTTTAACACACCTAACATTATAGGAAGGCCTGAAAAAGGTGCACCAAGCACATTCCATAAGACGAGTGAAACAAAACTAAAAAAATTTGTTTGAGAGAAAAGGGATACACATACCCATTGCCCCAAATGCTAACTGGAAAGCTTTATTCTCTGAGACAACAGCCTGAAGCTCAGTAATAGCATTCCTTCTATCATCTGGTAATTTACCGTTGCTTATTCGATCAAGCAAACGCTCAACATACCTATTGATACATAACATTGACAAGATTTATATCACTAAGTAAACCTTCTCAAAGGGATCAAAATAACAAAAAATTAAAGCTTACCTATCTTCATTTGAAGAATTCTCGTTACCAAAAACAAGCCCAACAACACCCTGTGAAAAAGTTAATAAATTAATTAATTTCTAAACGGTGATTAATTACCCTAATTTAGTTGTGATCACTGAAATGAATCAATGCACTGAGTCAAATTAACATGTTAAACTAAAAATTTTACGAAATTAATTTGAAGAGAGTAGTTAGGGTGGAATTGTTACCTTGTAACCAGACATTAAATCCATTTTCATAGCTCAGAGATTTGTTGAAGAAGAAAAAATCGAGGCGAATCTGAATGTAATTGATGATAATCGAGATATATTGATGATTGAGGAATTGGGAGAACCCTAGAAAAATTGATAGAAACAGAAATCGTGTTTTAAGCTTGGAATTAGAAGATGAAGGAGGTTTCTGGGTTGTTTATTTTCATTATTGAAGATTTGTAAGTTAGTCACGTTACTCTATGGTTTGACAAATGGTTTAGACTTTAGATTTTAAGATTGGGCAATTTCTGTCTAATAGGCCCATGGGCTCCCACCTCTCAAAAAGAGTAAAAGTCAACCTCATGGGCTTTCTCCAACATGTTTGAAAACTCGAAAATATTTTGCATGTGTTTAGAAATACATCTTCGAACGCATCTAAAATCAAATCAGTCTTCGTAATTCAGTGACACGTTTTATTTTTGTCAAAATTTGATAAAGAGATACATCTCTGTAAATTTTCTGGGGTAAATCCGGAGATGTATTTTCGTAAATCTTCCTGATTCATTTTAAACTATTTGAAGTGTGTTTATTACACATCACAGTGGATATTCGGATATGTGTCTTCGAAAACCCTCCGGAATGCATTCTAGGCAGCAACATTGTCTAAAATTTGTCTTTTTTTTTTCAACTTATATTTTAGGTCATTTTAAACCATAAATTAGAAAATGCATAAATTAATTGATTCAAACATGCTACACATACATTTAAAAAGACACTCGTTAATCAAAATAAATTCACAATGTACTGACCATACATAACTTGATTCAAATATATAAAAAATAATACAACCAAACATAAATTACTGAGTATGTCTAACCTTATCCCCCCCCCCCCGGGCGCGTTTCTCCACTTGTACTCTAAGGCATTATGTGCCTTTACTATAATGCCTTCTACAAGGATCAATTGGGAATTGCCTGAGTGTGGTCATCCTTAACCTGTAGTACCTCCTGATTAGAAGGCCTAGGTGGTCTTCCAAAAGCATCTGATGTCATAATAGGATGTGACACCTTAGAGAACTATGTCATGTAGTTGTCTACGTAAGCTCAATGTACATGAGCTAGAACCCTGTGATAGTTCTTTAGTACCAAATGACTCTTGAAATTCTGAAGTATGGCATCATGATCTCTACAGCGGACTGTGGGAGATGCAGACTCTGAGTGGTGTCTCAGAATAGCCTCAAAATACCCAAACTAGCACATCACTCGTTCGGGAAGATACACATACATCAGAGTTTACCTGCAAGTCATCCATCCAGACTATAATGAAATGGCGTCCATCTGATGCGTCTCACAATGACTATCGTATATGAAGAATGCAATGTCATTTCGTACATGGTAGTCAAGATACACCCGGAATGACTCGATCTTCTAATTCGCTCTGAGCGGGGCAAAGGTGCAAGCATGTGTTCAATCCTCATGTAGTTAGGCACAGGTTCCCACCCGGAAATATGAGGAAAGTGAGAGATAATTCATCCGTGAAAATGATTCAGATGAAATATTAGTAACAAGTGTAACAAAAGAGTTATGAAGATATTAGTAATAGTAAATTACCGTAAGCAGCATCCAACTTTATGTCATCTGATTTTTCTTCCAAAGACAACTCTTGTCCAACTTAGAGTACAGGTAGACCAAACAAGCGCTCCCTGGTTGTACTCGTGAATCATCGTCAAATCAACAAAGTATCTAAATAAACCACATCGATGTAGGTTGCACTTTTATCCACAAACATGGACGTGCAAACCAGAAACAAGAGGTAACACTTCAATGCACATTATTTGTGGTACTCAACCTACATATCATTACTGTCGACATCCACAACCATCTGCATGTGGTCTTTATACAGTTCTTCCAAGAATTTAAATCTAGCATGAGCAGGGACACGTGGCCTCGTGAAGTGTGTGTCTGATACAGATGACTACGTGAAGTAGAACCAGATGGTTGCGAACCTTGACCTTGTGAACCATCAAACAAGGTATCATCGACTCATGGCCTTATGTTCCTATACATGGCCCACTCATGCCATACAAAGGTGTGTTGGGACACACGAGCGGGCCTAATTTTGTCCTGGTTCTTTTCGGCCATTGCACCTGTAATAAATCCAAAAGATCACATCAAATTATAACCAAAATGCAATCAGGCCAAATCCGAAGATACATATATGAAAACATTTTAGAAAAAATTTAGAGATACATCTTTAAATGAACTTGCCGATTTCCAGCAATGGAAGAAACCTCATTTATGCCATAAACTCCAACCAACTGGGATGGCATGTCTATACAAGCTATCAATTTTGAATGTGTTACTATCTAATGCAGCTTAAACAACCTATGTTACCTAAAACAACATTTAAATCTATAAAAAAATGAAATGAGAAACTTATAAAATTAGAGTTGTGGATAAGAAGCTTGAATGAAGAGAGTTACTTTGCAATAAATGAAGTAGAATAGAATAAGTGAACTTGAAGAATCTTGAAGAAAATTGTTCAAACGGGGTTTGTAAATGATTTTGAAGTAAAAGAGCTCAAATAGTGTTTACAAGAAATGAAAGAGAAAAAGGGAATGGTCTGACGTGAGTATATGAAACAAACACGTTCGGAGATGCATTTGCGAAAAAATCACTGAATTTTGAATTAAGGGTTTTTACGTAGATACATCTCCAGACTCACCCTATTGTTCATACGGAGATGCATCTTCGGATTAAATGTTGATAAAGTAAGGGTGATTCACCGATTTGCATTGATGATTGTGTTATAAAGGATGCATTCGGAGATGCATATTCGGATGCTAGAGATAATTGTGACTTTTCGTGGTGGTAGAGGAGCACCCTATGGGGTGGGAAAAGTATTACTTCTAAAAAAAGTGACACTTTTTTCCCAATCCTCACATAAACTTTTTAAATTGTCAAAAATATTATTCGGATTTTACATTTTGGAGTGTGTTTTTCAAATGGTTGGATTTTAAAATCGAACACCTTATATAAGTCTTGAATCCCTTTTTTCTTTCCCTAACCTATTTAATTGTTTGACAACAGATTAATACATAGTTGTTTAACTCTTTGATTTATTACTGATTCTCACACCTAAAAGAAAGATTTTGGTACTAGTTGAGGATGAAAAACTTGCATAGAAGTGGTAGTATATGAAGGCGGTAATCCAAGAAATCGAGTCCCTACATTCACATGTATTCGATAATTGACATGTGGATTATTATTTTTAGAAGTGTGGAAGATGGTACTACATTTCACGATGTTGCGTAGCAGATTTTAAAGAAGACTAAGAATGTCTTGTTAATAAATAGATTGAGGAGAAAAGAGAGTAATTTGTGTGTAATACAATAAGATGTATTTTTATATCATGTATTTTATTTATAATCGTTTGAATTTTGTATTTATACATAATATTATTTATTATGTCTTCTGATTGATATGTTATATTAAATATTTTTAATTACGTTTGATTATAATATTACTTTTACTCTCATGTAATAACTATTGTTAATATTTGGTTAAATTAAAGGTTCAAATATTAATAAAACATGCATTTTGTTGTAAAATATTGGTTCGCATTTCACATTTTATAATATAAATACGTGTAAGGGAGGGTGTTTTGTATGTTTGAATTCTATCATTCAAACACATGTTGAAGGTGTGTTTTGTGCGTTCGCATTGTAGAATCTGAAACTTGTCAACCCAAGAATTTATATTGTGTGGTCTAAATTACACTGACAATTTCAAAGGTATAGAATGCACACAAAACTTATAAAAATATTGTGTTTGGTTCAGTTTTAGTTCACAATACAAAACAATGAACTCATATCCATACCTAGTCGGAATGATAAATAATGTATCTGCATTTTATCATAACAATGGGACTTATTTCTATTTATGTAGGGTCAATGTCAGATGTAGAAAGGTCGGCTGCGTGTATTGAATAAGAAGTTGCATGTTAAAAAGTCTCGGTAGGATTTGTGGAGTTTGGCTTTTTTGTCAGAACGACTATTATTATACCAGTTATAAATGTGCCTTAAAACCTTTGTTGATGAAGAGAAAGAAAATATATTCTGGAGATTGCATTTACCGCAAAAATCGAAAGTTTTAGAAAGTTAGACGAAAATCCAAAAAAAAGAAAAAAAAATCGGTCGGTGAATAATGTCGTCTGTACGGTGAATAGTGTTATCCGTACGGATGAATAGTGACGTTCGTACGTTGAATAATGTTTTCAAACTTTTTTAGATTCGATCCATGAATCCATGTGATTTTGGGCTTTGTTTGTTAAATATTTGCTATTATAAATATGTATCTCTTATATGTTTGGTGTGTGACAATCTTAGAGTTTTCACCAACAAGAGAGACCAAGGGTTTAAAGGTATAACATAGGGTTTCAGCTATGCACAAAGAAAACCTTTGATTACACATTGGGTTTGAGTTATTCATATATTGAGAGTTGGAGAAGTAGGGAAACACTTGGGTAGAAAATATGGTTGTTCCTGGGCGCCTTCAAGGTTGTTCTTGGGAAGTTGAAGGCGAAGGCTATTTTATTGTAACTCATATGTAATCCCTTGTAACAACGTTCTGAGTATAGTAAATTGAAGAGTTGCTTTCTCTCCCAGAGTAGATCGTTTGATCGAACTGGATAAACAAACCTTCGGTTTTTTCTTGCCTTATTTTGTTATCTATGTACTGATTATTATTGTTGAAGATCATTTATTTTGGTTGTTAGTGTTCTTTGCCTCACAAATTAATATTGAATTTTGTTGTAATTCACAACAAGATTCACAATAATACCTTTTCGGATAGAAAATTGACTCACGAGTTCAACACGCCACTTTGTCGTGATATATGGTGCTTTTTAGCCATTCGAGTTCATTTTAGGCCCGAAAAAAGCATTTTAATATTTTTCACAAATTTTTGTTTTGTTTCCGTTTTTATATAATTTTTGGATTAGGGTTTCTAATCGGTGGATTTCACTTGTGTTTTCAGACTCTGTTTGTT